CAGATCTTTCACCCGCTCAGAGCTCGAATTAAAGCTGCGCTTCCTTGAAGGAGCCAGTTTATGGAACGGTCGTGATTTTTGTTTCTATTTTTCTGTAGGCCACACTTACAGGAACGTGGTCGAAGAACGAACCGTGAGTAATCCATCCAGGATTCTAATTTTGGACATCTCAGCTGACAGTTTGGCGTTCCTTCGACAGAGTTACCCCCTCGCCTAAGAACCATATCAGCGGTGATCGATTGATTCGATATACCTTACCCATTATATAACTTATAACAAACATTTTGTTTTGTTTAACTTACAGAAAGTGTGCACTGGTAGCTCAAAACATATGATACTAGCAGTAATAATTTAGAAACGTCTTGCTCAACAATTTTAACATACTGATTGCGTTTCCCATGACACGTTGTAAAACGTGTATATACAAATTTAAACACCTAAAACCAACATATCCTTTTCTTTTTGCGAACATCTGTTCGTCAACGGTCGTCAGCTTCATTGACATAGCCACCGTTTACCCTACGTGACTAGAGATTCTGGTTTCTCTAAAGTCTTACCAGACTTTGTGAAAAATAAGACCGAAGGGCAGAAAGCCACCGTCGATGACGATTCCCTAGGAAAATGAGCTGAAATTATCCCATTATATCATATACCCATCGGACAAAGAAAGACAACCGAAACGTAATACGACGAGAAAGTCACGATCATTTTCCAGATGATCATTTCACGAACAGATGCCTTATCACCGTATCTTAAGATCAACGAGCAAATGGACGACCCTCCGACCGAAATCGCACCGTTTTCGGTCAAGCATCAGATTAAGAACCGAGAGTCTGAGTCCCAGTGGGGAGACTCGTCTGTCTTGCTTCTGATCTTGATAAATGAGCACTAGTTTGTAGATAGGAAATAAGAGACAACACGCTATGCTTACGGTACAGAAATGGAAAGCAGCACTACCCCATAATCTTCGTGAAATGAAGAGAGCAATGAATTGCTTCAGTTTGCTGAAGATCCCAACGGTTACAAACTTTCATTCTCCTTTGTCCATCTTACGCGGTGATAACGTCAAGCTTCCATTGCAACTGACAAATCATCGAGTCCAACAAAGGCAGTGATCACCATGGCAAAATAGAACCGAAACGGGTCAGAAATAATGCTACTAACGACCTCATGTACGTGAAGTTTATCACATACGATGCGCAGAGCATCGTCTAATGAAACGCTTAAGACTTAGGACGTCTTTGCCTACCTTGGGACGCAATCTGTTCCTGTTCGGTCCACCTCCCATGTCGCGAACAGGCGCATCGGTAAAACGTGGCTCTGTTCCATGGTGTGCCGATTTACCAACCAAATGTCACTGAATCAAAATCATGCCTAAAAAAGTAAGTAAAGTACTAAAGTAAGTACATAAAGCAGCATAAGACATTAACGAGGCATTTCAATCAATTTCTGTGGTGACTCCTTCGAGGAGAACTTTGTCGAAGCAGTCGCAACTGCAAACAAAATAAGTTTCTGCGGTACAGAGGCCAGTTAGTTAGTATTACAGATCAAACTTGCATCTGCCAGCTGAAAAACAACAGAAGCCGTTCAACCATCCAGGGTCTACAATACATTGCAATCAAGAAACGCTACATAGGCGGCCCGTAGATGATTGCAATGCATGCCAATCGATCTGATAGCTTATCACTCGCTGCAGCACACGCAGAAAGTCATTCGAATCAAATAAGAACAATCACTGATTCTACGAACTCGTCACGCAGTAAATCATTCTGAATTAGTAGTTAATAATCAAACTTCAAGGCTTTTGTTCCCACATAACGACCGTGCATATGCTTACGGTTCAAGGTGAGCAAAGCGCATCAACATAATACGATAAGTAAGGATCTCTGTCTGGAGAAAAGATAAAAAATGATTTTCATCGGTCGCGCGTCTTTTGGCGCCAAAATATGAACCATGACACTCAAGAATTCAGTTCATTCACTAAGACATAACGATAACCGCAAAAGATCATCATCTTTATCACCATCGCCACAATCCCGACTGTTAATATTAATAAAAACGTATCATAAAAATGCGATATATAATGCAACGATTATTTTATTTCTATGACAGTTGTGTTTCGATCATGAATCGGTGCGTGGAACAACTCACTACCAAAGTGTTAATCCCTGATAAAACCAGTTT